TGTGTAGTAGATCTGAAGGTATAATTTACCTCTGAAGATGTGGTAGTAGATCTGAGGTATAATTTACTTCTGAAGATGTGGTTGTAGGATCTGAAGGTATAATTTTACTTTCTGAAGATGTGGTTGTAGGATCTGAAGGTATAATTTTACCTTCTGAAGATGTGGTTGTAGGATCTAAAGGTATAATTGTAGAACTGACTTTTAGTGACAAAATAGGATTCTTTTTTACCTGTGCTTGGTAGTTAATGAGATAATTAAAACCAGAAAATCAAACGAAGTATCTAAAAAAATGGATTGAATAAGAGGAACAACAGAAATAGCACCACTTTCCCTTTGGCTTAATAAAGGCCTATGCATTGGAGCCGAAACGTTGTCTATAAACTGTCAACAGGTTTTGCTTTGTTCTTTTTTTTTTTTTCATACAAACGTGCTTGAGAAACACTATCTCGAGTTTTGGAAGAAACCAAAACGCCGCAACAAATAATAAATGTTTTGTAGGGTGGGAGGAGGAAGACCAAATTTTTACCGATTTATTTCAAATAAATAAGCATTATTTATTAAATATAGTACAGAAACTGTTGAAGCTCAGTTATAGAATTTATGACTATCCAAAAAAAAACAGAACTTTCTGAAGAAAACCTATAATCCAATTAAAAATAATAATCGTAATTATATAAACATACATATAATTATACCCAATGACATTATCGTAATTATATAAATATACCCAATGACGTTTTTTCATATTTTATAGGTGTTATTTTTGATATCGTCTACTGTAAAAGTATTTAAAAAAATATATCCCACTTTCAACACGAATGATTCACGAGCAGATGGTTGATACTGACGCGTCTGCTGAAAAACTGTTTGATCAGAACTGACAAGTCATGGTTGCGTGAACATTCATCAAGTATGTTGCACCTCTTCCGAGTCATACGTGGCTAAAAGTGGGTACAATTCCACCAGCGTTCTAATAGGATTTGACTTTCCACCTGTTTCCACGACGTCTTATCACTGTTCCAGTAGAGTTAGGCCAACGTGTAATGTGTCATACAGAATAGTTCACCATCACCTGTCCCTTTTTGTTGGTGAACTTAGAACTACGTGTGTCACTCACTGTGTAACCATGAAATATATTCGCCATGAACCCTTACTTGTTATCTTAACAGGGTTTTTAAACAAATGGTCTCATCCCACTAGAAAGAAAACAGAATGTTTCACACTGTACTCTAAGTAACACATTATTTGTAAAATAATCTTACATCGTTCCTCCCTGACCCAACTTTAATTTTCAATTATTTCTTCCCCTATACACACGTGCACTCGCATGCAATGAATTTTTTAACCCTAGAATTAGGGATGAAGCCCATATGAGTTCTATGGACTTTTTTTAGACCTTGTAGGTTCATGACTTTGTTGGTTGAATAGTTTTTAATAACACGAGTCACATACAAAAATTAAACATAAATGCCCTCAATATTGCAATTAACCCTACTAATATTGCTTAGGTCCTATTTTACACGTACAATGGGTGATTACACGTTTTTTCTCAGCATTTTATATTGACTGTTGTAAAAGGCAAAAACATAAATTTATTCAATTGATGCAACATCTGGACTCCACTAGTTATGAACATTATCAAAACAATTCGGTAATCGTGGGCTAATAAGCATTTCTATTGCTTCTTATGGGTAATTTCATTTTATGTAGAAATCAAACATAACTATAAATATGATTTATGTGCTAAATGACTACAACCAAATAATATAAAATATATTAAACAGAAATACAAAAAAAAAACGCGTCAAAAATATTTAGGCATAAGATTTAACACGGAAAAGAAGTATTATGCCAGTTATAGACACAAAACATCATAGCGCGTGTCACTATGGCTGTTAGATATATATGACTGTTTCGTTTAAATTTATGAATTATGATTTAGACAGTTATAAAGTGCGAGTGTTAAATTCAATATTTTTAAAAGTGATAATTTATCGCAGGTAACATTTCTTACATAACTGTTTACGAATCATTTGTGGTGTAGGCCAATTGTTGTAAATTGACTCGAACTTTCGGTATTTTTCTCCTTGCTTTGAGTGTGTATTGTTATATCATAACGTCTCTAGTTTGTAGGAAGTTCTAGGCCTCAGACTGGCAATATATATATATTGTTACGTCTCTGGTCGTTTGTTAATATCCCGTATAATTTCTTTCCGATGAAACTTTAGCAACACAAGTCCTTTCTTAAAGAAAACTAGTTTATTCTTTCTCAATACAACTTTGCAATACACTTGATTTCCACAGTCACGCTATAATTCAAACAAACGCAATAATTCACAACGAGCGAACGATTCACGCGTTTGACTCAACTGTCGTCTCTATCTCTGTCTGCAATTCAATTACATTGTTGCCGTCACTTCTTGGCGGTCTTATACACAAGAATACCGCAAATCTGGTAAACACTCGAGGCTTCACGAAGGGACATTAATTTTCTAGAAGTTCATGACGTGTTACTAGCGTCACGTGACCCCCGATGTCGTAACACTGCCCCTTCCTTAGTATTGTTCGTCCCTAACAATAACCACTTACATTAAACCAATAAATAATTAACATTAACTTAATTAAATGTACAGAATTTACAAACACAAAATTAAAATTCAACAACGTCTCTTAATTTTACGGGAAGTATTTTCTTCCGTAC